CTGTGCTGTGACTGTCTATCAGTCCCAGCAAGTGTCCTGAGGGCTATATCATTCATCCCCACGTTCAACACAGCGCGTGGCTTCTGAGCCTTTGTGGTCCGTGGAGCAGCACGGTGGTCGCTGCAGGTAGAGGTTCTGGAGCTGGGCAGGGCAGAGTGAACTACTGCTTATAGTTCAGTATGCAGAGGGCACTGAAGCAGCCTCTCTGCACTAGTGCCATGTGAAGCAAAAGGGTGGCAACAACCCAGCCGAAAGCCCGGGTCTCAGAGGAGCTAGCTCACTGAACTACGTTGGTTGCAAATTCATTTTCCTCTCTAGTTATTGTTAAAACATTGCTATTAGGATATCTCAAAAGGGAAGAAAGTTTCTGGTTTTCTCGCCAGCTAGCCTTGACAGTTGACAGTTGAACTCCGGATATTTGTCTGTAGTGGTGATTCTTAACTGAAGGTTGTAAAATTCCTAGTATTGCCTAGCCCAGTAATTCCTGCCTGGAGCATCAAAATCGGAATTCTGATGTGATAAATCTAGTCTTGTGTTAAGTCACATTTGAAGCCTGAATCCTCATAATTCTTTCTTGAAAGCCTCCAAGGATTGGGAGCTCATGAAGTAAAATGTATCACATTCCAACTTCTGGATAGACATTAGGAGAGTCTCCTTTATACTGAACTAATATCTTGCTGAAATTCTACACTTGGTGCTAGTTTGCCCCTATGGAGTATAATTTGTCTTTGCACATTTCCATATGCCAATCCTTCACCTCTACCCCTTCCCCCGGGCCTTCTTCCTAAGGTTTTCTCCTAGAGAAACCTCTCCTGTTCTCCCACTATACCTCACAGGAATGATCTCCAGGCCTACCGAGTTTTGTTTGTAATTGTATTAAAGTGCAGAGCACCAAATGAGACAGTTCATCACAGCATGGACTGACTGGGGGGAGGGCCGCTCTCATCCAACTTCTTGGCGTTATTTCTTTTGATCTAGCCTGTGATCACTTTTAATTCACAGTGAATTTGCAGTTGGCATAGGGTGAGCTTATGATTAACCCAAAGCCCAGGTCTTTCTCACCTGTAACTCAGCCAAGTCTGCTGTAAATCTAAGTAATTGGCTTTTATAAGCAACACCTGGCGTTTGTCCTGTCTTGTTAGATTCTATCTTTTCATTTCAAACCAATTCTTTCTAAGGAGGAAGCAACAGGCTCAGAAGAGGGAGCTGTAGCAGCAGTACATACAGTACTTGGGGAATTAGGGAAGGTTGGTTATCCACTGCCGTTTCCCAGTCTAGGGAGCAGCTCCATGTGGGTAGTCATTAGAGAACAGCATTTCTTTTTTTGTTTATTTATTGAAAGAGCATGCGCGGGGCGCCTGGGTGGCTTAGTCGGTTAAGCGTCCGACTTTCGCTTAGGTCATGATCTCGCGGTTCGTGGGTTCGGGCCCTGCGTCGGGCTCTGTGCTGACTGCCAGCTCAGAGCCTGGAGCCTGTTTCAGTCTGTGACTCCCTCTCTCTCTGACCCTCCCCTGCTCACGCTGTCTCTCTCTCTCCTAGAAATAAGTAAAACATTAAAAAAAAAAACTTTGAAAGAGCATGTGCATGTGAGAACAGGGGAGGGGAAGAGAGAATCCCAAGCAGGCTCCAGGCTCCCTGCTGCCAGCACAAAGCCCAACAAGGGGCTCAGTCTCACAAACCTTGCAATCATGACCTGAGCCGAAATGTATAGTCCAGACACTTAACCAACGGAGCCACCCAGGCACCCCAGAACGTCTCCATTTCTAACCAAGTTGGAACTGCTTCCGTTCCTTCCTGTGTGCGGTGCCCCTGATGTTGTGCTGAACATGTTGCCTTCATTATCTCATTTAGTCCCTGCAGCAGCCCAGAGCACATCCTACTATGAAATCTCATCTAGGGATTCTGGTGGTCTAGAAACAAGATTCATTCGAGAATGCTTTTAAGTAAAAGAAAATCTCAGGTCTTAGCCCAGAGATTCTAATTCAGTAGGAATGATGGGGGGCCAAGAAACTTACTCTTTTCAAGTTTTCCCAGTGATCTGATGCATATGTGTGTTTGGGAGTGTCTGTTTTAGTTAGTGGCTTTGTTACTTGGCTCTTGAACAAGACAGCGTGGGTCTGATTCATCTTCCTCCATCTAGAGCTTGCTGTAGCAGAAGCCCTCAGGGAAGACGGCCGAATGAAAATTCAGATGCATGGTAAGTGGGGAGGTGGGAGAGTGAAGGTGTCAGCGTGTGGGTCCTGAGCTTTCTGAAGGCCAGCAGGTATGCAGCCTTCTCTGGAGCGCTAATGGCTAATGAGGCAAAGGGCTCAGTCCAAGGACACTTGGCTCACACAGGAATGGGGACAGCATTATGCAATGATCACTCAGGCTGCCTGGCCAGGCAGAGATCCTGGGTGCTTCTGCCTTTTCTGGAAACAACAGAAATGACTGTGTACACAAGGACACAGCCCAATGTTACCCAACCTTCTTCTCATCGCTGTTCACAAAAAGCCCAGTGTTTACACAGATGCCTAGTTTTAAAAAATGCTACTGGATAAAGATGGTGCCTTTTAAACAGCTGTTCAGGGATCATGTAAGAACATACTGAGGACCTCTGTGGAATGTCCAAATAAGATGGTAGGGAACTTAGGACTCACATGGTCTCATTTTTCACTTGTCCCCAGACCTTTAACTTCCACTACCCGGACAGGAGACCACAGTCCTGGGGTGTTGGCCAGGAACTCACTTTCCTGGTGATGAGGGGCAGGCCTCAGACATGCCACCACTATTTTGACTAGTTTTATTGAGCAACAGGATGCCATAGTTAAAGGGCCCTTTTCTTTTAGATGGAGAAAACGGGGTCCTGAGAGGAAATGTACTTGCCCAGGGTTTACAGTGAGCAAGACATTGAGTCAGGATTCTACTACCCAGCATAAAGCTATACCAAAGCACCCTGGAATAGACTTGTATGCCAGTGAAATAAGACCCGTTTCATTTAATGCACAAATGTAAACAACTGCCCCAGCACCATTTATTGGCAAGTCAATATTTTCCCAACTGAAGTACCACCTGTCCTAAACCATGCAGTTTTCATACATGCTGAGGTCTATCTACTGTGCCACTGGTCTGTTTGTATACCATGATGCTAGTATCATGGTGGCTTAATTGCCATTGCCTTGTAACTACATCATGGTGTCTGGTAGAGGGAGTCTCCCACCTGTTGTATCATGGATTTCAGTATTAATTTACATTCTGTTAAAACAAAATTGAGATTTCGACAAGAACTTTAGAAATACATTTGTCGAGAAGGATCTTTATAATTTCAAGTTTTCTTTTCCGTTAATAATAGTATAGGTCTCCATTTATTTAGGCTTTAACACCTTTTGGCAAAGTTTAATAATTTTCCCCACTAAGGTCATAAACATTTTTGATAGATTTAGTTCCTAGATACTTCTGGAGGTATTTTTTGTTACTATTATAAATGGTACTTTTTTCTTGACTTACATTTTGCATCTTGCCAGCATACTGAAATGCATTTGGTTTTTGTGTATTGATCATAAATCTAGCACCTGTTCTTGCTTTTGGATTTTCTAAGTGGAAAATCACAATCTGTGAAAAAGAGCTGTTTTTTGCCTTTTGATACTTTCCCCTTATTTTCTTTTTGCTGTCTTAGCACACGGGGTGGGACCTCGAGCACAAGGAAGAGAAGCAGTGATGAGGGGATCCTCATCTGACCATGACCTTGTGTGGAACTTCATACATTTCGTTTGCTCCAGGTTGGCTGTAGATCACCTTTGTGAGATGAGGGTGGTTCCTTTCTATCTGTGGTTTGTTAAAGTTTCTATGGTTTGTTGTCTTTGTTGTTAAATGGGTGTTAAATTTTACTGAACAGTCTTTCTGCATCTATTGACATAATTTATTTTTTCTTTAATCTGTTAATGATTATTTGGTTTCTTCTACCTGTCTGAAAAATGAGAAGATAATCTAAAATATAAAGAAAACCTTGAGATCCTTTGTGTTTGTCTTTATGAGCAAACACACTGGACGTTACAGAGGCAAAAACCCAGAAAGGCTGCTTACTCAGGCTGCTTCCACTTATTTGCTTTCAGGCTGGACATTGGACTTGGGCCCTGTGGGTGACAGACTTCACGGACCTGGTTGACTGAGGGCCAAAGCTCATCAGGTGCAAAAAAAAGCATGTCCAGGGGCCAGGAACACAGAACCTGGAAGAAGCACGACGTATGTGCCAGACTGGAGAACAGACAAGGTAGGATCACTTCACTACCCTTGGACACAGCCAGCTTTACCTGAATCTGAGGTAGTGGCCCCCCACAACCGTCTGGAAGTGTATGGCCTCTTTCCCTGTGGGCCTCTCAGAAACTGAAGTTAGTAACTTCTATTACAAAGAATGCCTGACTTCAGCAGAACACTGGAGAAATAAGGCCTTTCACAACGGGTTTTCCACATGGTGGATTCCCCAGTGTGAAGGCATGAGCACGTCCTCCTGACCTCACTGTGTGCTGACCTCTTCTTTCTACTCTGCAGGGGGATCCTCCGACCTCCATGGGGCTGTGCGACCACGCAGGGACAACCCAGGACCAGCAGGAGCTGCAGGGAGCACAGAGGCTGACTTAGCAGAAAGAAGAACTTTTATATCAACTCCCCTGATGGGAGAAGATTGCCCCAGCACAGCAAGTGGGCAAAGGCCCGATGACGATTTGGCAGGAATCTTGCAGATTTGTGCCAGGACTGGACTGCTGACTCAAGTCCCTGCCTGCCCCGGAGTATGAAATGACACCAGCTAGAGATGCCTGGGTTTACCTGAGAGCAAGGCGGTGAGTGTTTTGGTGCAGGACTTAGGTCCTCTGGGTTGACCTGCTCACTCCCCACGAGCTGGAGCGCCCTGAGAAATATAGATTGGAGCCTGTACTGTGGGAAGGTGCTGGAAGCAATCAGAGGCTTCCACCATGGATTCTTCTTTGTGGAGGAAGTGGATGTTACCTGTCTTCATGCACCAGTGTAGCACAAACAGGGCCTTTATTGGTGAGGCTTGGCAAGCCATGGCAGAGCTCAGCATGCAGGCTGTGAGGGTTTGGACAGCGTCTAGCAGACAGCCGCTGAGGAGATTAGCCTCAGTGGGCTCTGCTGCTTGGGACACATTGTCCCTCCTCAGTTCTTCGAGGGATGTGTGCGGGAAGAGCATTCAGCACTTCACAAACTGGTGGGTGACCTCGTAGATTCCCACAGATTCCTGAGCTTTTTCGTCGTAGTCAGTCCAGTCCTGTGGGGAAAAATGGCCATATGAGCCTCATGAGATGGCTTTGGACAGTGTGCACAGTGGTGGCAAACTGGGACTTCAAACATGTATGACCCAGAACAGAGCCAGACTGCATGTTAGGCGTCACTTCTGAGCCTCAGTTCTACTTAAAAAAAAAAAAGGGACAGTAGCAGACTTCATCTTGAAAGAATCAAATGAGGTAACACACATAAAAGTATTTAGCACAGTGCCAGGCACATAGAAGAGCTCAGTAAATTTCAGGTACTGTTGTTATTAGGTGCTATTCAAACTGAACAAAGTTTCTGTTCTTTTGATGCCTGACCACAAGGCCCATGTAAGGGAGTAACACGGCCAGTAATACAGCTGATTCTCACTATTCATGGCAGTTACAATCTACATAATCACCACAAACACTGAATTAGCAAACGGTGAACCACTATTCCCAGGGGAAATACAGGGTTAGATTCTTATATATTTTTATATATATATATTTATATATATCTATATATATATATTTATATATATTTGTATATATTTGTGTATATATGTATATATATTTGTATATATATTTGTGTATGCGTGTGTGTGTATGCGTGTGTGTGTATGCGTGTGTATATATGTGTATGTATATATGTGTATATAGTTGACTCATTAATACTGAACTCCTAGCTGACAGCACTATTAGTCCTGCCTAAACAAAGATTTCTCCATTAGGCACATCCCAGACTCCTCGCTGTGGAACACCACACAGCACTTTAGCACTATACTTGGGGCCATTTTAAACACCAAAATCCTCAGCAAAAAATGTGGAGTCAGCTTTGTATTGATGATATTTGTTCACCCAAAGGGTAATCCCACCAAGTCCCCTACAGCACCCTGCATGGCCCCCAAGTCCCGTACCTTCTCCTGCAGGTTAATATCACTGAAGACCGTCCCGGACTCCATGCCCTCAGCGGCAAACCCAGCCTGTAGGGGACAGGAAGGCAGCAGTTAGTCTGGGGGAAGGGAGGCCTGACCAGGGGAGTGGCTCTTTTCCCACCATCCTTGGGACGGGAGGACAGAGCTGCAGTGGGAGCACCTGCTCTGGAGTAACTACTGCACTTCCAGGGTCTGGCAGCTGCACTATAGTGCTTCCTCCAAACCAGAGCCTTGGACCCGAAGCAGGAGGTGTGGGGCAAACCTTTCCACTACCAGACTTCCTGAGAGCCGGGGCACGTCGCTCCCCTCTCTGGATGGAGTCATCTTGTTTATGACTGTCTCATCTCCTTGCCTCACAGATTTGTTGTGAGGTCAAAATCCTACACAACTAAAATGGGATGGGCACCGGCTCTGGAGTCAGATAGACCTGGGTTCAAAAAACAGTGCCAGTGCTTACGAGCTCTGTCACCCTGGGTACCTTGCAAAATCTCTGAAGTTTTTTCCTTGTCTGAAAAATAGGGTGAATAACAGGCTTAAACAAAGTAACATGTAAAAGTGACCAGAGCATGCTCCTCCTACAGTAGGCACTTAATACGTGACAATTATTCTGAGGAAGAAGTCCTAGTCCATGGTCTCTGCATGAAACAGAGTTCTGCTGTCACTTTCTATATGCCCTTCCCAAAGATACAGCTTCCCCAGAAGACACACGCACCTGAGGCTGGAAATCAACTGGTTCAAAGCCCCGACACTCAAACTCTACAATTGTCTTGAACTTCTCATTGTCTTCAGCCTAGAAAAGAAGTGTGTTGAGGGGGCAGGCCTGACTGGGCCCTTAGGATGGTCCCACTGCCCCTGCCCTTCCCGCCAAGTGGGCCCAACTGCCCTTGTGAGCCCAGAATGGGACTCAGGAGCGACTCATTCCCTTCTGGAAGAAGGCTGCGTGGGTCACCTGCTCCTCCCGAAACCCTGTATGCAGATGCTGCAGAAGAAAGACTGTCGATTCTAGAGTCAGCCTGCCTGGGTATGAGCTCAGACAGAATTCTGTCTTCTGCTTCTCTTTCCATCTGAGCCTAAGATTGTCAGACTGGGCTAAGGAAACCACTGCAAGTTTGTTGTGAGAACCTGAACTGTGTGTGAAGTGCCCAGCTACAGTCCCTGATGCTATGCTCAATAAATGCTAAAATTTTCAAAAACTATGAACAAGAACGTAAGCTATAAAGTCTTCCAGATCTTCCAAATGGCCCAGTACACTTAACTGCAGCCTTCTGCTACCCATCTGCAATGCTGTGAGGCAGGAGGCTCTGAGGGACACCTGGGTGACTCAAGCATCTGACTCTTACTTCAGCTCGTGAGTTTGAGTCCCTCACTGGGCTGTCTGCACTGTCAGTGCTTGGGATTCTCTCTCCTCTCCCTCTCTCTGCCCCTCCTTTGCTCATGTTCTCACTCTCAAACTTAAAAAAATCTATTTAAAAAAGGAAAAAAGCCTTCAAAATGGAATTTTCACATGGAGGGGGCACCTCCAAGGGGGGTGGTTTAGTGAGGAAACTCACGCCTACCTCACCCATGGGCTCAGAGATGCCAGGCACCACACCCACACATTTCAATTGCATTGTCATTCACTGTAAAATTTCCTGTAGACCAGCCATGTGCCTGGCACTGAGGAGACACTCTGTTGGCCCTAGTTTGTTTTTGTTTGCTAGTCTGTCCCTTCCACTATATTATCAATTACTTGAAAGCAAGTCCTCATGACTTCTCCCTTTAACTTCAGGAAAAAGCTAAGAATTTGACAAAAATCAGACATGTTTAAAAAATGCTAAACAAGGGAGGGGCACCTGGGTGGTTCAGTCTGTCAAGCAACTGACTTCAGCTCGGGTCACGATCTCATGGTTCGTGAGTTTGAGCCCCGTGTTGGGGTCTGTGCTGACAGCTCAGAGCCTGGAGCCTGCTTCAGATTGTGTCTCTCCCTGTCTCTACCTTTCCCCCACTCATGCTCGCTCTCTAAAATAAACATTAAAAAGAATTTTTTTTTGTAAATACTAAATAAGGTGTAGGTGAATACAAGTAACTACCCTTTAAACAAAGAGACCCAAAGCACACATTCCCTTCCTCCCCTTTGGACTACTCTTGTTAACACAGTAATGTATAAGTAGCTAAAGTCAACATCAAGGATGGGATGCACCAAAGGACTGTCCTACCCATTGTTTCAGAGAAGGCTCACTAGTGCCCCAGGGCAGACAAAGTGCTCTCAGTGATAGAAACTGAGTGGCCAGGTTGGGTCAGAGGTACCCTAAGCTCCCACAGCCCCGTGCTTATAAAGAAGACACTGTAATTGCCTGTTGATGAATCTTTTTTCTACCAAGCACTCAGCCAGTATATGGTGAATAGATGACTAGTACCGTGACAGACTAAGTGAATGAGCGAACAAGTATATGAATGAATCTCCTATGGCAAGTCATCCTGGTGCAGACAGAACTCTAGAACCCAGGCTTCCTAGCTCCCAGCTTAGATTTAATCCTGCCACACCTGCCACAACAGCAGGAAACTTACATTGTAAGATTTGATGGTGCTGCTCAAAATCTCTGAAACATAAAAGAGAAGACAAAGTTGACTTGAGTCCATACCCTGGCCCTGTACAGGTGCCCAGATGTGGCTCTGGGAAAAAGAGCCTGCTGGCAATCACTTGGGCACCTCAGGCCTGGGTCCACCTAGAGTAACATAAGCTTGCTTTTGGTCTGGTACCAGGAAGATGTGGGCCTGGTTGGGGGACCTCAGGATTCATGACCTGACTTACCGATGGAGTTTTCCCTAGCACACAGTTTGCACTTCTGGACCATGGAGGCGCTGCCACGACCTCCCTTCAGTGCCACACTGTCCTAGCAGGGGTAAACAGAACCTCCAGTCAAACATCAATTATATGTAAAGGTCTCAAAGAAACCCAGTCCTACCACTTACTAGCTAAAGAGACCCAGATCAAGAGAGGGAGATTCACAAGAATCCTGGGGAGGCTTTTTGAGACTGAGAAAAGGACTCCTTTTGGTTCTGAGTTCTGCCTCACATCCCAAAGAAGCCTGTTCTTCCCAGTGTTGATCATACTAGCGCCTGCCCTCCCAAACCACAAAATGTAGTGTCCAAAGACCTGAGAGATTAGGGCCACAGCTTCCCTCCCCAATTCTCTGCCCAGAGGCGTATGTGTGTTTGTGTCTGGGTATGGCGGTAGGGGGAGTAGTTACCATCAGCCGAATATATTGCCACTTCTCTGAAATCTCACCACAGTTGCCGCATTTCATCTTGGGGGAGGAAAGAGAGGATCAGTAAAATAGCTAGCTCAGCTGCGCAGACACTAAGGGAAGGGGAAGAACAGTGCGAGGTGGGCAGGCTCAACCTACCTTCTCATCCACAGTCTCACCTTGTCCTTACAACCAGCCCCACCAAGGATGTAAGCAAATTTCTTTCCCAGGAAAGAACAGATCAAGTGTTTCTCATGCAGGCATGCACCCTTCCTAGAAGTACCCAGTCTAGTTGGAAATTCAGGCTAATGTAGTACTGAAATGGCTTCAACAGCCCTCACCCCCATGCCCTCGTTGGGTCTGGAGCTTTTCTTGTGTTCTCACAGGCCTTGTAGGTTCCTAATAAAAGTAGTCATCATTCTGCCGTTACTCTTTTTCTCTGTCTCCTTAACTAGACTGTGTGCTTTTTGAAGCAGAAGTACATCAATTCCTCAAATAAGCCCTGGTACTGGGGCTTCAAAGTATTTGGTAATAAAGGTGCCAACAAAGCTTCCTGAGAAAGATAGAGCTTTTGCCAGGTTCTGAAGGATGCTGGAATTTAGATGAGGAGGTAAATAAAGCAAAAGCTCTGAGATCTGGGAGAGTGAGGGACCTCACACTGCTCAGGTTAAGACGGGAGGGGGTGGGGGAGGTGTGGTTCTGTAGACCCAGCCACCAGACACCCAGGTTAACCAGTATGGGGTGGGAAGGAAGGGGGAAGCCACGCACAAAATTACAACGCTTTCACGATAAAGTCTAATCAACAAAACAGTGAAATTCTCCTCCTTACTAAATAATCTCAAACCCTCTTCACGTAGTCTTTCGGTAAATGCTTAAGCAACATGAATATATCACGGAGGAAAAATTACAAAAGGAATTCCAAGAGACTACCAATTACGAATTAACCACTATACTTTAAAAAGCCAACAAAATTTTATCCAGGAAAATAACATCTAATGGCTACACATTTCCGGTTTTGCTGGAGACAAAGCTGGACAAGGACTTAAGGACTGGAACGCTATTCCGAGGCTAGGCCCCTGGCGCCCCGCCCCCTTCCGGGATCGCTCCAGGACCCGGAACCTCACTCCTCCCCTCTCCCGCCTGGGACCCCGGCCATGGAAGCCACACCTTCAGGTACCACCGGAAGTCCTCGCCCAAGGGCCGGAGGTTGGTGACATTCTCCAGCGTGGCTTTGAGCTGCAGCGCAATTTTCTGTGAGGGAGGGCCAGAGCAATTGCAACAACCGCGCCTGCGCAGCCCTACCTGGCCCCAGCCCCGCCCCTCCCGGTACAAGCCTTCCCGCTCTTCTCAGCGCGGGCCCACTTCTCTCATTCCCTCCTGGCACAATTTCCCGCCTCCCAGGTCCTCGTCACCTCCCCGTCCCTGCCGCGGCGGCAACTCGCCCTCGCCTTACCCCCATAGCGGCCCGACTCGGCCCGGCCAGGCCCGGCACTGGGCTGTGGCGACTACTTTCCGGCCGGTCGTAAACGGTGGGCGCTGCCAGCGCACCCGGGTGCGGACCTCCGGCGTGCGTGAGGTGAGGTGGGGCGGGGCGGAGGGCGGGACCTCCACGCTCAGCGGCTTCCGGGGCGTGCTGGGCTGTTTATCGATTAAGTGGACCTGTGTAGGCGTCTTGAATACGCAATTAACCTTAACTCAGATTCCCCGGGAGCCTTCCTCCAGCAAATTGCTGACCGATGATGCCGTGCCAGCACTACGCTAGTCTGAGGGATACCGTAGCAAACAAGACAGTCCCTGCACGAAATCTCTGCCAGAGTTTTTTCCTGGTTCCTAACTATGCTTGTCTTCTCTCACCCAGCAACCACTTGGTTCCTGCTTGCCTTTTGAGGCTTCTTCGATCCCGTCATTTCCCGCAGCGGATAGCCAGCTTCGCAGATTTGGGGGTGGAGCCTTTCATTTCTAATAGTTCTTTTTTTTTTTTTAACTGTTTTTTTAATTTCTAGGAGAGAGAGAGAGAGAGAGAAAGTGAGCAGGGGAGGGTCAGAGAGAGAGGGAGTCACAGACTCTGAAACAGGCTCCAGGCTCTGAGCCGGCAGTCAGCACAGAGCCCGACGCGGGGCTCGAACCCGCGAACCGCGAGATCAGGACCCAAGCGAAAGTCGGACGCTCAACCGACTAAGCCACGCAGGCGCCCCTGGAGCCTTTCATTTCTAAACTGCTCTTTCCTTTTTCCCCCGGGAGACCTCGCTTCAGCGGGTTGCCGTATATACACGTTTCTCACTGCAGTCTTAAAGAGGGGACACACCCTTCCAGGGGCTCTTCTCTGGGCTCCTTGTACATTTACTGAACCTTAACTGATCTCATCTTAACCTTAACTCTCCACATCTGAGACCATACAGAAGCTGTGAGTGTTCCAAGGAACAGCCCATTTGAGACTTAGAGCTTTGTGGTTCTCATGGCCATTTAAAAGGAGGGACTATTCTTGGCTACTTTACCACTAACTTGAACCATTGACCGGAGTACCCTTCTATAGTGGGAATTTACACTGGAGTTAGGATCCCTGACATCTCTGGTCCCAGATCTGCATGTAAGTTGCTGCCCCGTAATTTTTGAAGGAGGGGTGTGTGTGTGTGTGTGTGTGTGTGTGTGTGTGTTGGAGGAGGGGTCAGGGGGAGACACTGGCTTAGGAGTCAGAACACTTGGGAATTGTCCCAATCTCTGGTCCCAGATCTGCATGTAAGTTGCTGCCCCGTAATTTTTGAAGGAGGGGTGGGTGGGTGGGTGGGTGTGTGTGTGTGTGTGTGTGTTGGAGGAGGGGTCAGGGGGAGACACTGGCTTAGGAGTCAGAACACTTGGGAATTGTCCCAAACTGGCCTGTCTTGAGGGATTAGCTTATCCTAATCACTTCCCCTCAAATGACATTTGTCAAGACCGGCTCCTTTCAGTGCCCACAGTCTGTTCAACCAGCAATTTGCCTAAGGAAGCTATGCAATTTAGCAGCAAGAAAAAGTTCCTACAAATCTACCCGCTGAACAGATTCCCACAGTATCCATATCAGCTAGGTCTCAGTTTGTTAATGTGTTATTTCTGATTTTAAAATGGACTATTAGTAAACTTTTCTGAGACCAGGCATTTTATCCCTTGTAATGTATTAAACCAAAATGTTTTCCTCCAAACTGAATACCAACAGATGTACCTATAAAAGATGACTTAAAAAACTCCAATCTCAATTATATCTCAATAAAGTTAGAGGGAAAAAATGCCAGTACATATCTAAAAATTTAGCAATACTTCATTAATATAAAATATCCAGTGTTCAAATTTCCTTACCAATGTCAATTTTATGTTATTTGAAGCATGATCCAAGTAGGGTCAAATGGTGTACTAATTATGTGTGTCTTAAATCTTCTTTAATGTCCTGGTTCCCACTCCATCTCTATTGTATGTTTGCAATTTGTTTATTGAAGAAACCAGATCCTCTGCCCTGGAGTTTCCTCTGGATATTGGTGATTGGATTTCTATTGTATTTTCTAACTTTTTTCTCTATTCTCTTATTCCTGTAAATTGTTAGTTATGTCTAGAGTTGATTAGATTTTTGGCGACACTTCACATAGGATGTGTTTTAAAAAAGTAACTGAGAAGAGTTCACATGTTCAGGTCTTTATAAAATAATAAAAATTGCATTTTGTTTTGTATTTATTAAAGACGTTTATAGTTTATAAAAAAATATTGCCCTGATATACACAGAATTTCTTGATAATGGTAATTAAAAACAGGTACTCCCAACCCCCCTTGTGTCCGCACCAGTATTCAATCTAGATTGGCTTAATCTTGAAGTGTAATCCAATAAGACTGAAGACCAAACACTTCAGGTCCTGGACAAGATAATAAAATACTCGTAGGCCTTCCGGATCCCTATAATGCAAGAGGAAAAATATGTTTAAAAAGCTGAAAAAGCTGGGAAAAACCCCCACATTAAAAAACCCTATTACTTGTATACCAAGATATTCCTTGTAAAGGTATATACAGAATTAAAACTTTATTTTTTAATGTTTTATTTATTTCTAGGAGAGAGAGAGAGACAGCGTGAGCAGGGGAGGGTCAGAGAGAGAGGGAGATACAGAATCTGAAACACTCCAGGCTCTGAGCTGGCTGTCAGCACAGAGGCCGACACGAACTGTGAGACCTCATGACCTGAGCGGAAGTCAGATGCTTAACCGACTGAGCCACCCAGGCACCCCCAGAATTAAAACTTTAAAAATAACCAAGTGTCCATAAAGAAGGAAAAGGCTATGTGTTATATATTAAAAGAGACTATTATGTCATTTAAAATGTTAAAGTTTTTAATGGGGAAATATATTAAATGAAAAATATCACGATTAAAATAACAGACTGTTAATCTCAAATATATTTTTCGTGCTTTTTAAAATACAGTTTTTAGGGGCGCCTGGGTGGCTTAGTCGGTTAAGCGTCCAACTTTCGCTTAGGTCATGATCTCGCGGTTCCTGGGTTCGAGCCCCGCGTCGGGCTCTGTGCTGACTGCCAGCTCGGAAACTGGAGCCTATTTCAGAGTCTGTATCTCCCTCTCTCTCTGACCCCCCCCCCCCACTCTGTCTCTCTCTCTCTCCTAGAAATAAAAATATTTTTAAAAATATTAATAAAACACAGTTTTTAGGGGTGCCTGGGTGGCTCAGTCGGTTAAGCGTCTGACTTCCGCTCAGGTCACGATTTCACGGTTCCTGGGTTCGAACCCCGCATCAGGCTCTGTGCTGACAGCTCAGAGCCTGCTGCCTGTTTCCGATTCTGTGTCTCCCTCTCTCTGCCCCTCCCCCACTCATGTGCTGTCTGTCTCAAAAATAAACTGTAAAAAAATTTTTTTAAATAAAACATAGTTTTTAATGCACAGAAAATAGACAAGCAATACTCAAGGTATTAATGGTTGCCTAATAAGTTTATGGGTGATTCCCCCCTTATTTTTCTGTATTTTCTACAGTGAGCATGTATTACTTTCAGAATTAGGAAAACTTTTATTAAAAAAAAATTTTTTTTAATGTTTTATTTATTTCTGAGAGAGAGAGAGAGAGACAGCATGAGCAGGGGAGGGTGAGAGAGGGAGGGAGACACAGAATCTGAAACAGGCTCCAGGCTCTGAGCTGTCAGCACAGAGCCCAACGTGGGACTCAAACCCACGAACCATGAGATCATCACCTGAGCTGAAGTCAGACGCTTAACTGAGCCACCCAGGCGCCCCAGGAAAACTTGTCTTTAAAAAGAAGTAGTACTACGCAGGACCAAGAGGGTGAAGACCACTATGGCACAGCTGGCTAAGAACAAGAGGACTGTCCAAGGGAAGGCAACTATGCCTGACGTGGACTGAAAGTGAGCCATATCCAACTTCTAATCCTCCAAACAGAGGAGCTGCAGAGGCTGCCAAATTCTAAGGGCTCTTTGTAGCATACAACCTCATACCTTAACTTTATAATTTGCCCTGATAACATGAAGTTTTAAATTTGCATTCTAAATAATTTCAAGTTTCACCATAGACTGTAAGATATGGCCAACACTGAGGAAGGTGTTCATGTTTGGATCAATCCACTGAATCTACAGTTTATTTCAAGCCCCTTTTTGGTATATTTCATTTTCTGTTCTCGCCAGATCCTTACCTACTTTGGCTATTCCTATGACATTACTCAGTATGTGTCCCTGAGAAGCTGTTAAGTACCAGTGACTGAATGAAACATCAAAAGCAACAGGAGCAAGCCCTGAAAATAATCCGGAGTGTCTCTCTACGAGAACATGGCTGGCTCCTTCTGTATTGCGTTTGTACAAGAGCTTACCATGATGGTTCCAATTTGGTTAAGGCTTCTTAACAATCTGCTGTAAAACAGACACATCTGGATGTAAGGATCATGTGCACTTACTTGGATTGATTGACATCAATAAGAGAACCAATTTTTGATGTTGTGAAAGAAATGTGTTCATCTCCAATGACAATTTCGAGCTCCTAGAAACATTAAAAAAAAAAAATGAAGTC